GAGTCCGTCTTTTCGAGGAACCAGTGATCAGTGGATAAAATGGTACAGCTGCTCTAACTGGTTCAAAGGGTGCGTTTCGAATGCGACGTTTCTTAAAAAGTATAAGTTAAAGACGAAATTACCCGGAATTCTGAATTCGAAACGGACTTCGTATATTCCAGCCAATTAATTATATACAAGGTGCATTAAATTAAATTTCACGAAATATTTTAGGCATAGAAATTTATATTATAGAATTTAAAAAACGTAGGCCTACCTATGTTATTATGAAAATTATTAACTATCGATGTTGTTATTTAATTGTTATTATTTTGGAAACACTTTTTTGAATTGATTATTAATTCATTATTTTTCTAAATCACGGTTGATATCTCCCTATTAAATAAAATAAAAAATTTGCCTTAAAATTGAATTCTTCTTTGAAACATTAATGTAATAAATTGAAACATAGTTCCTAATTCTAACAAATTTGCTACAATTGATATTATTCTTTATTGGTCTCTGCTCTATACTAAAATTAATAACAATAAGATAAGAACATCGCTCGAATTTTGGCTAGTGAATTTAAAAGTAGCTATTTAGCTAGAATTTTTGCCCTCTATACAAGGGATCATCGATATGTTATTCACTAGTGGATAGTGGCCTTGAAAATTTACCCATGCCTGTATTATCTAATAATTACTATTATATATTTACATAATCACAAATTGCAGTTAAACAATTACACATAAGGTACGTTATTGTTTGAAAGAAAAAAATGAAATGCCCTTTGTACAATGTATTTACTCTATATTACTGGGAAATAAAATGGTTTGAAATTATTTGTTGTACTTTTGAAACCCCTTCCTAAAATGAACCAGAAATATTAAAATCAATAAAGAATAGACACATTATTAATAAATAAAATGTAATTTTAATTTTTCTGACGTTGGTATTCCAAATTCCAAAAAGTTACTAGAAAAGAAGCCTAAACCAAGGTTACAATGTTAATCCAGTTTAAAAGCTTAGAAGGCTAAGGGTCAACCAACACCTCAAACCCTCAAACCCTAATCAAAGACTTTAAATAAGGAATCGAGTTAATATTATCTTTTTAAAAAAACACAAACGAACCATCTCCTTGAACAAATTAAGTACGATATAGCTGAGTCGATAAGAAGCGCCCATCCAACTCCAGTTTGTATGTCTAAAAGTGCATTCATTTCTAAGATTTCGCAATGGAAGCACGTTTTTCTTTTCATTTGTTGTTTTCTTATCAGCCCCGAAACTATGTGCGAGAACTTATGTGAGACGTATCAAACTCGAATAAATCTCACCGCGCCGGAATGTTTCCGAATTTCTTGCCGTTCCTAGATATGCATTTTGAATAACTGCGAACGTTAAGAAAACTATTTTAAATATACCGTGTTGTGTGTGTAGTCAACTCGATGACGTCTCATTTACATAACCATTTTATTCACAAACAACACGTTTCATATTTAAAAAGGTTTCCCTATTATCAACACCGCTCCAATAAAGTGTTTACTGAGTATAATGCGAGAATAATTGACTCTTATTGAAGGTTTTGCATGCATTTTTCAAATAAAATTACTTGTTAAGTTAAAAAAATCAGCATTTTTATATCCCAATAAATTGTATGGAGGAAAAAAGAAATGTTTTCTAAAATATTGCGACAATTGTTAGTGTCGACAGGAATGATGTGTACAGGAAAAAACCACTAGCAATTGGGAAAACTAACAAATATATATCCAGATCGGAGGGGGCGAATCCGGAAACCGTCCTCTACGACCCCGGACTCCTATCTCATTCACAGCCAGCGGCTATGCGAGCGCATTACGGATATTTATTGCCCGGAAGATTATCAAGAAAGGGCGGGTTTTCAACAGACATCGATTTTTCACATGTGCCCTCTGTTCAAGTGCACACCCTGATATGCCATCGTAATTATCAGCGGTACTACATTATGTCGATCCTAAATACTCTTACAAAGTATTCCTCCGAGTTAAAAATCGATGATTTGAGAAAATTCCGCACTTACCTACTTTCGCATATTTTTTATTTCTAATTTTTGCTATAATTTTTGAGCTATAAATCTTTTAAATTTCCGTTTGAAATGTTTTCTTAATTTTAAAATTCTTTCAACTGTATTAGCGTTACATCTACATCCCATCCCTCCCGTTTGTAATTAACAAGTATTTTTAAAAATGCGCATCCATTTTCACAACAAGACTTCGCCCCTAAAACAAGCTAATGCGCGTAATTCGACTCGCGTTTTAAGCCAAACTCGGTTTTTAGATTGGGCCCGAAACGTAAACTGCAGCTACCGAAACTTTCGGCGGGCATATATCAAACGGAGAGTTAGCTTAAATACTTAGACTACTTAGCTACACGGCCAGCTCTAAAAGCACAATTACGCGACCATTTAGTTAATTAAAAATTATTCAGTCGGAATTTCGCTTCCGCAATTCTCGTGATGTGATTCATTTAGTTTTTAGTCAATTTTTGAAGTAATAAGAGATGATTTTTAAATGTGGCTAATATCAGTTTAGTTTAATGTCATTTTCTATTTAATTATAATGTATTTTAAAATAATGGATATTTTCCACAAATACGTTTCGAATACATATAATCTTTACTCTCTTTACTCTCTTTACTCTCTTTACTCTCTTTACTCTCTTTACTCTCTTTACTCTCATTACTCCCTTTACCCCCTTTACCCCCTTTACTCCCTTTACTCCCTTTACTCCCTTTACTCCCTTTACTCCCTTTACTCCCTTTACTCCCTTTACTCCCTTTACTCTCTACAAATTTGATCAGAACATGATTATAGGAATGCAATACCCACTAATTGCTGGAAAACTTGCATTCATAATATTGTTGTGATTATTTGTATTTGAATTTTATTGAATTTTATTGAATTATTCGATTTTTCAGAGGATTGAAAAATAGTTTGAAAGTAAATTTGTCATTTTCATAGCACCATTTAAAAATTGCTCCCCTAAAAAGTTCTCACTTTTTAAGAATAAAAATCTTTCTAAAACATAAGTTTGAAACTCTTCCATAACTTTCCGATACTGCAAAAGATTTTGTTAAAAATATCAAAAATATGAACGAATTTTTTTCCAGAACATTCACCTGAACAAACTTATAGTCCAAAATTTAATCCTCATCCTAATCCTAACTTAATTCCTTGTTAACCAATTTAACAATTTATTAGGTACATACATAATTTCGCATGTATTCGTATAAAATTTATCCAGCCTGATATCAGAATGGTAAAGCAGCGTACAGCAGAAGATTAAATAAATTTATGCCGATTCGAAAAGAATAGCCTTTTATTATATTCCGTCTCGACAATATTCCCAACAAGTCCTTTTCATAAATGCATATTATAAATCCGCTCTATGCCAGTCTCGCTCTCCCGACCGGTCCTCTACCCTCCGCTTCGTTCGCCCCCATGACGCGCCAGACCGTTGTCTGGTACATAATTGAGAATTTCGCGAACATAAATTCGAAATAAATCCCGAACACAAGAAACAATTGAAACGGCCGATGAAAGCTCCAAAAGCAATTCGCGAAAAACAAACGACAACATAATAACGAAATGAACTTTTCGCGTATTTACACACAGAGCGTATCATGTGAATGAAAAAAGTTATCCAGTTTTTTTTGTTAAAGGGATAAATATTTTGTATACTAAGAATGGTCGCTGGTTGTTCTTAACGTTATTTTTTCTTTTTTGTAAGTTTTCGAAGTTCTTATCCGGTCCATTTCGCAATTAAATGGTCCACTTAATCAAAAACCGCCGGACCGCTTCCAAATTTACCGCCCGGCTCGAAACTGTATCGCGCAAACGGGGCGACCATCCTTCATTCCCGCATTACAAAAATTAAATTTCATCGAGAAACACGAAATATGTTGGTGTAGTTGCCGCAAGACAAATATATCGCCTTAATTTTCAATATTTCAAGAGCGCCTTTCCACGACTTGGGAAGCGCGCTCTCCTCTTTCCACTCTATTCCTCTCTAACAATTTCGCGATTCCTGCGAAGCGGGTAAGCACCAGAAAATAAATATAGATATATTATTCATGTGCAGTCTGTTATCGTAACTTTCTTTTCTTAAACAACGAGCAGGACTGTATTTATTTTTTTCAAAGTTAAGATACTCTTAGTAAATACAACTGTTTAATGTTTCAACGTTTGAATCTGGTGATTTATGAATAATGTATAATGGAATCGTTCAAGTCTTAACAATTTTGTTTTTCAACAATAAACTCTTTGTGAAAATATTGTAACCAATTATTTAGATCAATGCTAGAAAATGTATTGAATAAAAGGTATATAAAATTGAGATACACATAACAAATTGAGATCGTTTAGCACACGGTAATATTATTTATTCTTTATACAGGTAGATGCGAAATTGTTTACAATATAGGCTATGGGTGCAACAAAGACAACTTACATTAGGGTCATATTAAGGAAAAAGAAAGAGTGATACTGTGCGTTTGCAACTTTCTCACTTTAACCAATGTTGTTTTAATAATCTTTCTTTCTCTCATAGAATTGACCATATTGCAAACAATTTTGCATTTATGTGCACTATTAGATATACACTAATTACTACTACCATATTAACTGCACTAAAAATGCTAAAAGTATAAATTTTACAATTCAAATTCGAATTTCTAAAATCCGCCATGTTTGTAGTTAAACATGTTTTTTTTTATATTTAACTATCCACATTAAATAATGTGAATTGATAAAACATGTAGTAAAACAATTGAACAATTTCATTTCTTATTTTCAATTTTAAAAATTTTCCACGAGGCGCCCTCTATGTTCTTCAAACTAAATCACCTTTTACAGACGTGCTCAAATGTAGTGCCTAAGAAGACGTCTAACGGATGCTAAAATAATATAGGTAATTCAAAGGTAGTTATCACAAACATTTAAATCTAAACAATAATCCTAACTCATAAAATCTAATAACGGTAAATTAGTTCGATTATAAATTCTGTTCTTTTTAATAACGCACTCATTTTTAAAAGCCGTTGTCGTAAACTTAGTCACCGTGCAACCTTCACCTTCCTAACCTACTATTATTTTCACTATTTTTAGATACTTTTCTGTTTTCTGTTTCTGTTGTTTTTATTAATTATTGCTATTATCATGTGTATGTTGATAAGATAAACGCATTTTAACATTTCAAAGTTGCGCCTTTACGAAATCGTCCACACGTTCAAGAGCAAACACTTGAAAAATATTAACAATGTCTTTCGTCGGAAAGGTAATACTAATAACCGGCGCCAGCTCGGGCATCGGCGCCGCGACGGCCAAGCATTTCGCCAGCTTGGGCGCCACCCTGGCGCTCACCGGCAGGAACATGGACAATCTCAAACAAGTCGCTTGCGAATGCTCCACCAAATCCATTCCGTTGCTTTTAACAGCCGAATTGACCAACGAAAACGAGACCAAGGCACTCTTGGACAAAACCATCGATCACTTCGGAAGATTAGACGTTCTAGTAAATAATGCCGGTGTCATAGAAACGGGTAAGCTTCTTTCATTCCCCCTAATAATTCTGTACTACTAACCAAAGACGTAGGCGAACCTTGACCAAGACAGGCTCTATCAAACTAAACTATCTCTTTTAGGAAGTATTGAAAATACAACCCTCGAGCAATACGATCGTATGATGAACATCAATGTCCGGTCGATTTACCTGTTGTCAATGTTGGCTGTTCCCCATCTGATCAAGACCAAAGGCAACATTGTGAACGTTAGCAGCGTCAACGGAATTCGAGCTTTCCCCGGTGTTCTGGCCTATTGTATGTCCAAAGCTGCCGTGGACCAGTTTACGAGATGCACGGCTCTCGATTTGGCTCCCAAGCAAGTCAGAGTAAATTGCGTCAATCCAGGAGTGACTGTTACTAATTTGCACAAAAGAGGTGAGTTGGCTGTGAGCTCACTCGAGTCCTTAACCATTATTACAATACATAAATATTATAATACTCCTGGTTTTCAAAATTTATTCAGAAATGCAAAATTCTATGATATTTATACAGGTAGATGCAAAATTGTTTGCAATTTGTTGGGTAGGGGTGCAACAAAGACAGCTTGCATTAGACCAATGTAAGGAGAAAAGAAGAGTGATGGGAATTTATACTTGCTCGTTCTAACCACTGCTTGTTTTAATAATCTTTCTTTGTTCAACTCATAGAAATGAACATATTGCAAAGTGAAATGAACCAAGGTGTATTAGCAAAATATCTATAGGTTAAATTAATAACGTAACATAAAAATGACATACTGCAATTTTCTGATAGAGATTTGTAATCCTATGTCATTTTAACAATAAATACAGATTTTATAAATTTGAAAATGAGTAAAATTTTGGGTAGCCAAAAATCTGAGCTAATGGAAGCCTGCATGGATATGATATTGGACATGGAAAAGAATAAATTAAATTATTTAAGTAATATATTTCTCTAGATGTAAGTTGAATTTCAAATTGAAATTTTTCAGGTGGAATGAACCCTGAACAATACGAAGCATTCATTAAGAGGTCCCAAGAAACTCACGCTTTAGGTAGGCCCGGTCAACCCGAAGAAGTGGCCAAAACGATAGCATTCTTGGCTAGCGAAGATGCTAGTTTCATCACAGGGGCTAGTTTACCAGTGGATGGAGGCAGGCACGCCATGTGTCCTCGTTAATTATAGTTTGTAGTTATTGTTTTCAATTTGGTTTGGGTCATAAATATTTGTTAAAATTTTTGTTTTATATAAATATTAAAATTGATTTTTTAACGTTTATTTTAGACTAGTTATAACGCAGAAAAAATTCGTACTAAGAAAATAAAGACATTCTATTGGATTCCCAACTCTTCATCGGTCCATTTAGAAGGGTCAGGATACGGAAATTCTCCCTAAAAAATTGAGATTTATTATACAATTACACTCCAATTTATTATAAACGATACTCTCGTATTGCGATAAAAATTTATTATGTTGGCATAAAATATTTTATAAACTTACTAGAATATGATCGGGTTCCGTCCACATATGCCATAAAATCCACCACCATGCAAATCCTTGAATTCCTTCGGCTGTGTACCTCACAAGTTTGGAAGGTTCAGGAGCCCCTTTACGGTAGTTACAACTAAGAAAGTTTCAAAAGAAAAAATTACATAATGCAATGCTATCAAGTGAGCGCCATTTACCTGCCATGGTTTCTAACAGCTTGAACCAAATTTCGTGGGCTCGCATTTTTCAACAGCCTTAATGCTGGTAATGTTTTGGAAATTAGCATCTTATTTTTCTATTTGGGGCCCCTTTTATATCTTTTTATTCTTTTTATTTATACTTTTTATGACATTGAAGTTTGATGACATTTGGCAATATTGACAGTTGCTTGTCAAATTATCTCCTTTTTTTTTGTTCTGGTGACTCTTTAACCGACAAGAACCAGGACGAATATATAATTTGACACTACATCAAAATAGAAGATTTTTGAGGTTATTCTTTCAACTGCATTAAATATATAAATAAAATAAGCATTTTTATACATATATAATAAAAAATGGCTCAAATCTCAGCATCAGAACAGAAAGGCATGCAAGAAATTGATCTCACAACGTTGAGTATCCAACAGTTGTCTACATTAAAACAGCAATTAGACCAGGTAAGTAAATGGATCATTTCGGCTCATGTGTGCTTTAATTTCGTCGTATTTTACAGGAAATAAATTTATTTCAAGAATCCCTCGCCTCATTGAAAATAGCTCAGGGTAAATTTCAGACGTCTGGCGAGACACTGGAGAAAATTGTTCCGGAGTCCGAAGGGCAGGACATTTTAGTCCCCCTAACTGGTTCTGTATCCTTTATTTATGTATATTGTGGCTATTTGTAATACGTTATGATTTATTCTTTGTATTGGAGTAATCTGGAATTGCTAATTTCCTATGTTCATTTATTTGGATATTCTGTATAAATTATTACACTTAATGAATCAAATAATGGACGCAAATGGTTCTAATATTGGTTTATTAGCAATTCTAGGAATTCAATAAGGTTTCCTTGTGCACCAGCTCTCATTTAATTAAGTATACTACTTTTTTATTTATATGAATAGCATTCTGGAGGGCAATGACCACTTATATTTAGCATAATTTTATCCAATTAGCATTTTCTTTAACTGTATTTACTTAGATGTACGTTCCTGGAAAACTTCACGATACCAAAAATGTTATCATAGATATTGGGACAAGATACTATGTGGAGAAGGTACCTTTCTTAATTTAATTGGTATAAATTACTGCTTAGATTGTGTACTTATCACTTTTTTAGGATATCGAAGGAGCCAAGGATTACTTTAGCAGGAAGGTTAAATTTGTAACTGAGCAAATGGAGAAGATTCAATGGTTGGGGGTTGAAAAAAGCAAAATTCGAGACGCCATCGTGGAAGTAGCGGAAATGAAAGTTTCGCAACAACAGCAGCAACAACAACAAAGTTGAAATGATTCTAATTAGCTTTCTTTATCTTCTGTTAATTATTCTTTATTTAAAATTCGAAAGGCCCCATTAAAGGATTTGCACTAATTTTGTCTCTTTTGAATGAAAAAAGAAATTCGAAAAAATTGTATTAATAACATTTATATCCAATTGTACGTCTTAATTAAAATAAATTTTGTAGGCAACTCAAGTCATACAATAAATAATTTATTCTGTACAATATAGAAAGTGTTTTACCGCTAGACGTGTGAATTGTCGGTTTTTTCGAACCTTTTAACATTCAAGTCACACATTTAGTGAAATTAATTTCATTAATTGTAATCTGTACTGATGCATAACCATTTAAGTCAAGTAGTATAAACGTATACAGAAGAGAAAACATTAGTAGATACAAAAATCAAATAATTATTTTTTCATTATAATTCCCAATAATAGTAACGTTTTAACTCAGTTGAATGGGTGAGTGGAAAAGGATAAAATTTCCATTGAATCTCCTTGTTTTTGGGAAATCAAAAAAAAACTCGTGGAAACCATTAATTTTTACAAAAAATCATTACTATTGCCCTTACACTTTGACAAAGTACGTTTGATGCCAAAGTTTGAACGGTTTATACATCTTTGGTAACAAGCTATTGGTATTTAAGAGTGCAAAAAAAATTATCCTTTTTCCACTCAAAATGTAAAAAATAGTTAAAAATAATAAAACTGTTTTTATAACATCTTCGCACGTCTTTTTCTAATATTGGAGCAGCCAACTTTTGAAATCAAGTATATCGGTATTATTTAGCCGTTTTACTTGAAACTTTTTTAGGTTGAGTTCTTTGGGAAAAATGTGTCACAACTCAAAAAACGGGTAGGAAAATATTTATGAATTGCCTCAAATATGCTTTTCGTGGTCAGCGCAGTAAGCAACCTGCTTAAAATTCCAGGAATATTATCCGTTTTCTATTCACCAATAAAATTATGATGTGAAGAGGGTCGGCAATTTTAGTTTTTTGCGCTCAGCGGGAGGATAAGAATGGCTATCTCACTTTAATTCGCCATATTTATGGAATTTTATCCTTTTTCCAATCACCCATTCAATTCTCTCAACCAATTTTTTTGTGAATTTTATTTCACCATAGGTAACTTGTAAAACATTAATAAAACGATTCTTTGAGAATCGACGAATGAACCGGAATGTGCGATAGAATCTGACTCGAAACCCAGTTAACGATTTTCTTGCGGCTTTTTACCATTACCCATCATATAGACCCATCAGTGTCTGATGGCCGGTCTTTTTTCTGGTTTTGTGGTCAGTCAGCATCGGTACCGGCATCGTCTCTTTCTGCGTACATTTTTTTTGAGACCATCATCCTAATCATTCGAGTTTTAATCGAACGCATTCGCTCTTAGTGTTGTGTGTTAATGTACTCAAAATGAATTTTGTTTTCATTATTGCGATTTGCGTTAGTTTTATACATTGCGACGTCTTACCGCCGAAAGTAAGTAGATTTTTTTTAATTATGATCGTGCATTTTAAAATTATTTTGAATAGTCCCCACACATGAACAGAATTTTATCCAAACCCTTTTATTGTGAATTAATTTTTTTTGGTTTATTTAGTCTTTTTTTGGAAGTTCCTATGATCTTAAATTGCATATAAAATGATTATCTTTTCTTAATTAGCAGTTGTAAATTGTTGCTAATTAGCAGGATGTATGATGTATAATTATAAATCGAGTGTTTTTTGAGTATTAATAATACTCCTCCGAAAAGTACAAATTATCTAAAATTCAGGCAGACTTTTTAAAAAAATATAAAACAAAAATGTACAAAGCCTTTTAAAGATTTTTTTTCAAAAAAACAAAAGGTAAAACTGAAGAAATGAACTGTAAAGTTTTATTTTAATCTCTATAATTTATTGAGATAAAATTTACAACAATTTAAATTCAATAGTAATCATAATTTCCAAAAAGCCCGACTATACTAAAATATGTAGTTACTCTTCTTATATTTTATTTATTTATTTTTACTCTAAGTTATTTCACTTCTGTAGCAGTACAATCAGAAGACTTTAACTCAAACCAAGCACCTCAAAAGAATTTCTAGCGAGAGAATATAACTACTTTTTGCGCACAAATCCTCGTAGGACTCCGACTCGAATGTATGTAGTTCTTTGAGTGTAAAATAATAATAATTAAATATCAACACATACGACAAAACAAAAAGAATAACCGTGACCTTGATGAAGTCACGATATACAGACAGGTGTGTAACGAAACCTTTTCTCTTTTAGCAGGCGGTAATTAAATTATATACGCTCAACTTTGAAATTACCACCAGTGCAAAATTTTTACATACATATATTTAACTTTGGACGCTCATTTGCTATTTATATTAGCGATGAGCACACGTAGAATGTGAAAGAAATGTATAAAAATACCTTTTTATTAATAATTCTGATATTGTAATATCTTAAAGAAAAATACTATACCTATGTAGGTTACCTAGTCTAAAAATACTAAAGGCATTTAATAATATGTTTATGTACATAGTATTCTTATTCTGAACTCAAAGTTATAGTGTTTCTACAAGGGTTTTTTATGAGGTATAAAGAAACCTAAATTAATTTTTGTAGATTCATTTACCTTTTGAATTCATATATTGTACGTAATTACAAACCAACATTTATAATAAGTATGTATCTAAATCAAATAAATATTTTATTTAATAAATATTTATACGTTGCACGTCTATGTTTTGAAGCGGTGTAACGAACTTGCCCGTAATAATTACAGCGCCCAAAAATCAAAGACTAGTTTTTGTAAAATAAGGAAATACTATTAAATTGTACTCGGAGATAAAAAAGTCAGTCTAATAAGCACGTTGGTGTTAAACAAAAAATTTACTAGATTCGAATTATACAAATAGAAGTCAATTTTAAGAAGAACGTAAAAAAAGTTAACGGGAATAGAAAATTAGTTATTTGCGTTAATGGCTATGCTGACGTTGCCTTAATATAAATTTCAGGATTAATTTTGTTGATCTATAACATTATTTACCTGTTGGAATATGCATTAAACGGCTTATTCAACATTTATGAATTTCATTAACTTTCGACTAATTAATTATCTAATAAATAAACTATATTTCTGGTGAAGTCGTTTGTAATTAATTATATTAGATTTTAGAGCAAGAATTGCATATACGAAGACCTCAAAATATTTTGAATAGACTTGACGGAAATATCCTTTCCAATGAGCCCGTTATACCGGAAAATCAACCGAAAAAAATCACGAAGCTCTACAAGCCCTTTACAATCTACAAAAACACCATAATCAGAGCGCCAACGAGGACAATGGAAGACACAGTCAGCAATTTGGTCGTCGAGAACGTGGTGGAAACGAAACCAATCGTCATTAGGAAAAACAGCAGTAATTTCTATCACCCGTATTTTAATAAATCTTCCGAAAAGGCCGTCGTCTTCGATTGGTTCTTGGGCTTAGTCGGAATCAAACAACCGGATCCCAACGCAGCTCCTGTTGCGCCCATGAAGAATTGCCCGCAATGCAGTAAGAATTCGTTTTTAAAACAATTATACAGGGCGATCCGAGGATATTCGCAATAAAATGTTTTAGAATGCGGCGAATCGTTCAAAAATATTAGAATAGTCGGAGGAATCGAAACCATGGTAAACGAATATCCCTGGATGACTGCGCTTATGTACAGCAACAGATTTTACTGCGGAGCCTCGTTAATTAACAGCAGGTACTGCTTAACTGCCGGTCATTGCGTCAATGGGTAAGCTAAATTGTTTACTATACGCACTTTATCTTGATGCTAATAATTCTTTAGGTTTAACAAAGACAAAATAACAGCTGTATTTCTCGACCACGACAGATCCAATTCCTTCGAAACCAATACAATCATGAGGAAAGTTAAAAATATACATAGACATAGAGGGTATGGAAGCGGAGGATCTTTTAACAACGATATAGCTATTATAGAATTAGATCAAGAGGTACCCTTGACGGGTTTATTGAAACCTGTGTGTTTACCACCTACTGGGAAAAGTTTTACGGGATTACAAGGTAAAGTAATTCCAAGAAAAAAATATTTACAGGAAAAAACAGCTTTAAATATGGTAGCTAATAATTTTTAATGTATGCGTTTTTTATTGCATGCACTTTTTAATCTATATCTCAATTTATTATTTATTGTTATCAGAGTATTATCTCATTGCGTATTTCTACAGGGTTATTTCATTATGGATGATGATATCCTTCCATTAAAAACCACTCAATATTATCTTTCAAGCGTTAAATTATGCATAGTTTAAATAATGTATGAATATCGGTTGTTTTTGTAGGTCAATATTAGTCCCCATTAATATTACAATGCATTACAATTTCTCTTAATGGAGAAAATGACTTTTCATAATAATAAATACACCTATTTATTTTTATTTACCTAATAATAAAATGCGAAGAATGAACGATTTCACTAATAGGTTTTTTCCTTTTTAATTGCTTTATTAGGAATAGTTACTGGCTGGGGAGCGACCAAAGAAAGTGGTCAGACTGCGAATAAATTAAGGGAGGTGAGAGTTCCCATTCTTTCTAATAAAGATTGCATGAAAACAGGATATAATAGCCGGATAACTGAAAATATGCTGTGCGCAGGGTATTCGGGAGGACTCAAAGATTCCTGCCAAGTAAGGAATACCCAAATATTGTTTTTCTTTCAACCTAAAGAATTATTTTTTGTATTACAGGGAGATAGTGGTGGACCGTTACACATAAAAAATGGGACTAAGCATCAAATAGTAGGCAAGTTTAATCCCAAATTATTCCTAAAGTCCTAAATATGTTCCAAAAGCCTTCAAAGAGGAGTTACAAATAAAAAAAATTATAATATCTCAGTAATACCGAACTAGCTTAAAACAACTTAATTTGGTGTACATTATAAGTGTACCAAGAGCATTAATCGATAGTTAGGAGAGATTAATTGATTTATTTTAAAGGGTTCTTCAGGGATGTTGCTCCCTTAAAATGTTGCAGATACAAATAAATTCATAATTTAATTTTTCAGGAATAGTTTCCTGGGGAGAAGGCTGTGCACAACCAAATTATCCTGGAGTATACACGAGAGTAAACAGATACATTTCCTGGATAAAAAGCAATACGAAAGACGCTTGTTATTGTAACAGTTAAGAGTAATTTATTACAATTAAAAATCTATTGGCTTATTAACGAGTCTTAAATCTAAGTAAAAAAAATGATACATCTAAGATAATAAAATACTTTAATATCACAAGAAAATAAAATATATTAAGCCTATTTATTTTAGCTAGTTTTATACCACAAATAATATAAGTTATGTGTTAAATAAAATTTAATAATTACAACTTTTACACAAACACAACACAAAAAATTCTATAGTGACAAAAAACTTGCATTCGCTAATAACGTTTATCTGATAATACAAAACAAATTACATTGTTTTATTAAGTTTTCAAAAGTGACACAAAAATCTCTCTCAGTAAGTACGGGAATACCTAAAAATTGTCGCAATTCGTCGCAATCGATTTAGATTGGTTAACTTCAAACATTTTTCGTTTCTTTGTTCAACAAATTGAGGCAATGTTTTTCCAGTTCAAATAAATGCTCATCGTGAACTTGCGGAAAGAACACTCTCATGGAATTGGCCAAATTAAAAAGGTATTCAATATTAGGGCCGCTGGGCCCGCTGCTGTTTACAATCTGAAAAATCATAAGAACTTTAATTACTTTTCAAATAAAAATTAACGATTAAGGGCGCCACTTCAGGGTATTTTTAAACGGAAAAACATAGGTTCAGTAATTCTAGTAAGATTCAAATTTGGCTTCATCAATTGACTTGAATCTTTTTTATACCTAATATAGACTGAGCAATGATATCTCCTATTTTTAATCTCGCCTACCTCATTACAGGGTGTTAATTAATTGATTGTCGATACTTCAGGATGTGAATATTTGGATAATTTTAAGAAGAAAAGTTTATATCAACGTATGTATGTCCTAAACCCATTAGTTTTCGAGCTACATGGTGTTACAGTTTTAGAAAAAAATTACTTTTCTATCATAATTTTCTCATTATTCCAAATATTTTTATAACTTTTTTACACACTTTTTAATTATTAAGGAGCATATTTTGAGGCAAAAGATATTTTTAAATTTTTACCAGTGACGTCCGTACGGGGTTTGAACTGAATATGTTTGAAGAAAAAATGGTACGCCACTGCTTTTTCTAAAAACCAAAATTATTTTTAAAATCCTCATTTACTCATTTATTTTATAGCAAATTCCGTCAAAAGACTTACTTTCGTAAGAAGCACTATTTTCGCGTAAAAAAATAAAAACCAAAACAATTTTTTCCCAAGTTCATTGAGACTGCTTTTGATAATTTGTTGAACTTTGGTAGGCGCCCAGCATGCATGGAAACATGTTTTTTGGGGAACAAAAATCAATTTTCTACTATTACCAGTGACGTCCACGATCGGAATTTCATAAAAATATCTGGAGTAATAAGAAAATTATGATCAAAAAGTTATTCTAGTAATTCGGGTAAAACTCGAGTTTCATCAAACGAATGTGTGAATCTTCTTAGAAGACTTCTTCTCAATAACAGGTATATTTAGCTTTTGCATACTAATGTGCTACCCTGTATATTACCCCACGAATATATGAATTTGAGGGCGTGCTTTTGCGGCCTTAAACAGATTACCTGTTTTGCTATTTCTTTCAATTCAGCAGGCCCTCCGTAGTTGAAATTGTTGTGATCCCCAAGGTAAATTGTTATATCGAAAGGCTGTTTATCTTTGGATAGGGGGTAGAATTTGAGAACAGTCTTTTCGTAACCACCCTTTTCTCTGTAGTCTAAATGATCGACTACATCTTGAATTTCAGCATCTCTGATCTTATACGCCACTCCATACACCTGCATCAATTTGATCATTATACATCGTGTTGTAATGTTATGAAATAAATTATACGTACTTTGGAATCTCCATTAGAGGGTAGTAAAGTAACCACCCTTCCAGGATTCTCCGGTGTGCCTCTGTGATCCGTACTCAATTGATAGAACCTTCTGTCGAATCCCTTGATGTATCCTAAAATTTTCTCTTCGTACGGAAAGTCGATTTTCCATATAAGGGATCCATATCCAAAAATCCACATCGCGATTATAACTTTTCTAATGCGTTACATTAATAAATAAAAAAATATTTAACTGCGATTATCCTATATTTATCATGCGTATGAGAGCTTTGTAATCGAACTGAAAATAGTTACACATTGTAAATTTTTGTGGTTTGTCATCGGAATCAATAAATTAGTATCATTTTTGTAAATATGTGATTTGAAAACGTGTTAATCTCTCTTGACAGAAGATGTGACGTATTGAGTCAAAAAATATTCATCTCGTCATAAATAAACAAATGGCTAAGATGACGGTTTCGTAAATCCAAGCAAAGAGGTTCCTTCCAATGAATCAAAATAAAAAAAAACTATACCCAAACAATTGTTATTAATAGATTTAATTAACAACAAGTAATACTATTTTAATTTAGCAGGCATCAAGCTGTCAAACTATAAATATTTCCCGTTGTCGCCGTATTAGACAGAACGTATTTCATTAAATACATTCTGAATAATCAGAATTAAGCAAATAAACTAATGGCCACAGTCCTTAGGTCAATTTAAATTTGTAACAAACGAAACACCTAAAATGTAATAGTACGTTTAATTAAAATTCTCTGGCAATGGTGTTGTCGAACTCAGAATTCAGTTCGAGTTCGGTGTAGATAAGATATTTTCGAACAGTGGTCATCATAGCATAAACCGGTTGTATAGCCAAAAAGTTTCGATTAAACAATTGTTGTTTATCCTTATTAACAGATAAGACTGTTCAAACCAAATAAGATGTAAATAAGCCTACAAAAATAAGTATTTTATCAGACTGAGTGAAGTATTCGATTCGAAACGAACAATTAAGTGAGGTTATAATGACTCTAAGGGCCATAAAGTACGATAACAATAATCTGGAAATCTTGGATCAGCTCTTGTTGCCAGCTCAATCCAAGTACATCCAAGTTAAAGGCGTTGAAGATGGCTGGAAAGTTATAAATAAAATGCAGGTAATATTTTTTGCTACTTGTTAGATAATACCAATCGGCCAATTAACATTCTATTTTCATGTAGCTATGTGCACAATTGCCTAATTGCTATTTTTAATACAAAAAAAATTAAACGTATTTAGGCCCATGTATAAATGCTCTTTCCATCGCAACAGGTTAGAGGAGCTCCTGCGATAGCTATCGTAGGTTGCCTCAGTTTGGCCGTAGAGGTGCGCAATGAAAAATACGATTCCAAAAAGCAAATGAGGCAAGAAATCGAAGGCAAGCTGAATTACCTGGTTTCTTCCCGACCAACAGCCGTCAACATGAAAATTGCCGCAGAAGATCTCATCGATTTCGCTAATCGGCTCAGTAACGATGAAACTCTAGATTTGAACGCAATGAAATCAATGTAAGTACTGTCGTTACTAACACGCCCAATCTCACACTTATTTTGCATGATTTGCCTATTTTGTCAACATCAACATGATTAGCTAATTATGGTGTTGTTCTGAAAATTTCAAACTATATGAAAATGAATCCTTAATAAAATTCCTATTGAAATACCAATAATATTTCCTTTAGTAATTCCTTTTCTAACTTTGATTACTCACCACCTTAGCAGGTCTACTCTAGATATAGTTCTATTCATTATTCAGGCAATTTATGTACAACAAATTAATGGAGATTTGTTGCAGATTTCTGAAAACGATAGAAGACATGTTGGCTAAAGACATAGCGGATAATACAGCCATAGGAGATTTCGGAGCTAGGGAAATTTTAAAGAGACTCACAGGAGATGGGCTCGTCAGGATTTTAACTCACTGCAACACTGGCTCTTTAGCAACAGCCGGTTATGGAACGGCTTTAGGCGTCATACGAACGTTGCACAGCATGAAACGTTTAGGTGGACTCTAATTATATTTCACCATAATACGCAGTTTTTAATGTCTGTTTTTTTTTTAAATTTTATAGAACATGTTTACTGCACTGAAACAAGGCCTTACAACCAAGGAGCCAGGCTGACGGCTTACGAATTAGTCCATGACAAGATTCCTGCTACATTAATTGTAGACAGCATGGTAGCTGCAGTAATGAAGCATAGAAACATAAGCGCTGTTGTTGTCGGTGCTGATAGGGTAAATACAATTTATTAATCCTATATAAACTGATTTGTGTTATGTTGAAGCCGTTGTAAAGTTCTCCATAATTTAGGTTGCAGCAAACGGGGATACAGCCAATAAAATAGGTACATATCAGATCGCCGTTCTTGCCAAATACCACGGAGTGCCTTTCTACATCGCGGCCCCCTTTACTTCCATAGATATGTCGATACAGAGTGGTGATCATATTGTGATCGAGGAGCGGCCTGACAGGGAGATGACCCACGTTGGTGAGCACAGAATAGCAGCGAAAGGTAAACAATCGATTTGTTCATGTATGTATAATCTGTTAATTTATTATTATCGATTAGGTTTGTTTAAAATTACTGACATTTCACTGTCTGTTTGCAGGTATATCTTGTTGGAATCCCGCCTTTGACGTAACGCCTGCTGCTCTAATAGCAGGAATCATTACCGAGAAAGGTGTTTTCCGACCAGAACAACTGAAGGAGCAATATCTTCTGTTGAACCATTGAAAATCGATTGAGTGATTCCTTTTTCGCAGGTATTTGTTACTGTTTACATTCAAAATGTTGATATGGTTTACTCTTTGTATTAAAAGCTAAGAAAAGTTTAATAAATTTTATAAACAACTGAAATTAGTGAGTTTTTTGATAATAAAAATGAATGAAATTCTTCTTCTGCGTTATTTATGAAATAATTTCTGATTATCAACTTAAATAACTCGATTTGAACTTAGATATTCTAAGTCAATAGAAAAACTTTGGTAATGTTTTATTATCTTAATCATTAAACATTATCCCTTATTATAAGAAAGATTCAGGCACTTTTCCACGCAGGAAAATTTGAAGTTTTGTTTTTGTTCATTAAACTATTAAAATAAAATTGTAAATACTCGCTTGTTTACTTGGTGCGTCAGTAATGCTTCTGATAAAAATCTATAATAAGTAACAGAATATTGTTTATTATTTTCCAAGACTCAGAGGTATAACAAATGGCCACGCCAGAGGCTTCAGTGCCGGAACCTTCGCTTGAGCTTGTCTTGTTCAAGGTTCGCCGGCGCCTTTAGTTAGTTCTTCATTTACAATTTGTGGCTTGGCCATTCATGTTATACATTTTTATTAGGGTACTTTACAAAAGCTGCTCAAATGCTTTCCAGGCTCTTGGAAACGATTTCTCTACATTGTACCTCCCTATTTTCCTCGACTTTCCAGCGCTCTTTCATTCTCTAATTCTTATTCAATCTTCCTGTTCTGCATTACTAGGTTCTTGGTAAAATCTTTACCACCTCGTAGCAAATTTAAACCTCCCTGTATGGAGCGCCGACACCATTAATAAAACGTACAAATGAACTACAACTCGCCATGCACACACACATGAGATTTCCCCGTGTGTTTGGAAATCGACAGTCCGGCGAACGGCGGCAAGAAAAGATTTTTATATTTAGAATGCAGCGTTTAAGTCAGTCTTAATCGCGATCGCAGACCGTCAGGACAGCGATACCCAATTGGCAGAGGCGGCCACAGCCGGTGTTTTGACGTTTTCGACGTTGGTTCGTGTAAATTATTACATATCGGCGGCTCGGTAGGCGAAAAAAGCGCGATTTGCACACACCACCATGGCCGAAACCATCGAGGAAAGCTACGAGACGGAGGTGCGACGGAAAGTCGTCAGGACGAAATTCAATATCGAAGAAGTAAGTAGATGTAGATGAGATTATGTGCCCGCGGATTTGGGAAAAATAGCGGATCGGATTCGAAGCTGGCCAAGATCTTATGTAAATCTGACATTCAGGTTGCTACAGTGCAAATGTAACCGAAAATAAACAATATTGTTTGAAAAACGTACCTACTCGTGGTCGAAATTGGGTATTTATGCAATTGGAAAACGTTTATTTATGACTTGTAGTTATTTTTGTGTATAGGACAAATATGTTGTTTGAATGGGTATTTATTTTTCGCGGTTATTTTCTCTTTATATCCCTTATCTTTTATGTTTACAAATTGCTCATTTCTAAAAATGGGGCCCAGTTCACAAGTAAACCAAAAACTAAACAAGTTATATCCAACTGGAAATGAACCATTTGAAATTCTTAATTTGACGTTCACTTTCTATTTGAAGAAAATAGTATACTTTTAGTAATAAGTTTTTCAAATTTCATTGATTAATATGATAAAAACGAGGCACTTGTTCTTCCGCTCAACTTCCTCCACCAAACACCAAATATTTATTATCTAATCATCAGAATTCTTATCGATATTATTTTTGTTTTCTAAAAACATCAAAATATATTATTACATATTGTTCCAGTTGTTGATTGCTTGCTTTAGTTGCAATCGTTTTGTTTCTCCAGCTATCGCTGATCCATGTTTTTTGGGAGCTTATTTTAGACGCACCTGTTACATAAAAATGTGTTCCGTTTTAATGCGTATGACGTCCCGATTTAACGAACATTTGTGATTTGTTTAACGTTTGATTTAAATTTAACCGGCATCATATTGTTGTAATTATTCGATTGGAAATTTTGCTTCAATTAGCTCGTAGATCTTTAGAGACGGTGTTTATGAGACGTTCGCTTCAAACATTCATATTGCATATTTTTTAAATAGGTTTAGGTATTTGTAATATTTTTTGAAAATAGTCGAACCGTGAATAATTAACTTTGACGTAATAGCGACGCCAACTATTTACACTAAATACACTATTTTTAATTGTTTTGGGAGCTGTTTATGTCTCTGAACTTTCATGCTAGTGAAACGTCTAGAAGATTTACCTATTGTTTAACCTCTAGTCTAATTCATTCTAAATGTTTAAAAGTTGCAGGAAAAATTAAAAACTGACCTTCGAAATTTAGCCAAATAATTTACATTGTTGCCTACCACAGAATGATTGGTTTTCTCCAAACACGTCTTTTTAATTTTTTAATTTTACTCAGTAGGTATATAGAGAATTTTGAAATATTTTTGGATTTTTTGGTAGATTTCAACAAGTTCAGAGTACTTTCTAGGGCTTCAGATGGCTTTAAAATTTACTTTTCAGAATGGAAAAAGGATTTTAACTTGTAATTAAATTGCTTATAATAGTTGGAAGAGTCAATTTTTTTTAATTCTAGGGAAGAATAATTTCCTGGATCCTAAAATGACCCCAGAAAACGCCTAATCTTACTCCCTTAAAAGCGACCCTAATTCTTTATAGTTAATTGAATTCAGTCGAAGTAAGATTGGCGAAGTAATTTTCCATATTTTTCCTAATTAATATTTCGATAATACGCACCATATATCCTCAATGAATTGCTAGTATTTTGTTTACGACCTACCAGCTCTATAAACATTGGAAGTTAATTTTGAAATTTCGAAGGAGCGCAACACAACAGAATATAATCGTACATTTGGTAACTAGCTATACGAAATTTACTGCTGTCTATTTTTGTATAAACACTCATTCTACAAATACATCCTTTGATTCCGATTTCGAAAATAGCAGATCGAATCAAAATGATTTTTAAATTTATTTTATTTAGCTTTCCCGCCTTATAGGCATTGCACAATTACAAATCTCTTAAAATGTAAATAATTATAATCTACTTTAATATTAACTCTAATTTTATTGAGAAGGTAGTTGACTCTTGCAGGTAAACGTAATACTTCCTAAGGATTGAATTACTTTAGAGTAGATTATAAATTTTAAAAGTAAATAACTCGAAAAACATTTACACTAGCAAGAAGAAATGGAGAGTACAAAAATAAAACGGTTTTAACACTTTGCATTATTTTTTTTAATTACAATAATATACTTGTGGTTAATGTCAATCTTTTGCCAAACGATAAAATGCCATCAGTATAACCAATTGCAGCATTGCCAATTCTCAAAAAAAGCTACAACATAATTTTTACTTCACTATAGTAAAAATCTGATGATTACAGTACTTGTGGCGTTTGAAGCTTACAAAGAGATTGTCGGGAAAGTTTTTCCAGAAATCTTTCGGAAAAGTCTAGCGAGAATAAACGAGGGCGTTGATCAAAGCGAGGATCCCGTTGTGTCACATTTGCTCGAATTTCGGCAAATAAAATGCTCGAGTTGCATAATTTACACACTATTTATTGAATTCGTTGCCAAAAGGATTTATTCCAGTCAACCGGCGACGCAAACGAAAGAGATAAACTGCAAATTTTCGCGGTTTATACGCGAGACTATCGTTAACAATTTCATTAAAATGTGCAACGTTAAGCGAGTAATTAAATTAAATAAGGACATTATTTTCATAGCGGTAACTTACGCTTATGACGCCTATCGTACGTAATTTCGTCGAAAAGACATGCTCTTCGAGTTTATTAAAAAATAAAACAGTAAAGCGCATATTTTACGCTAATTTGCTCACAAGAGAGCGTTTCATGAAGACGAGTGACTATAAAAATTTGATTTATGTCAAGTTACTGTGCTCTAGCATTCTAAAAATTACGAAATTCTGGGAGAAACGTATGTACCGCACCGTTTGGTGTGAAATTCAGTAATTTGGCGTAGGAGGTGGTGTAAAAAATAGCATTTTATAAAAATGAACTTTAATGAGGTGGGTAGTTTTTTAATAAGCGTGTCCACCAGAAATTGATTAAGAAGAGTTATTGTATTCGCCAATTCGCCAATTGCAAATATTCTAAACATTAAGTACGGTTCTTCTTAACACCTATATAAGTGAAATTTGCATTGTATGAAATACTTTCTTTTTTTAATCTAGACGCTGTATTTTTTTTATTTACAGGAATTGAAACGTCCTGATTTTGTCTAGCGAATAACCGTTAACTATTTCTAGATTCTTTTTTATATTTTGCAACCCAATTGTCTTCGAATAACGCATTGTGATTGACATGTTTGCTTGCCCAAGAAAAACATCGAAAATAAATCTTAAAAGACAATTCGATGAATTTTCTAAAAATTCATTCAAAAAATATTTTATGTTTGAATAATTGCAATAAAAAATGTACATATTTATCTACTAAGTAATTACAATAAATACAATTTTGCAATGGCACTAAAAAAATGTCAAATGTCAAATAGGCCAAAAAAACGAAACAAAATGGAGGAAATTATTAATTAAATTATCAATTTATTAATAATAATCAAAAAATTATTCTATAACACAAAGTCCTTTTTTAAATCTCAAAAGAGGATTTTTATTTGCGACATATTTATAAACAACACCTTAAAAGTTGCTAATAAATTTCATAATAACTGAGAACAATATTATAAATTATGTAGGTACCCAATATTTGCGTTAGCAAATTTAATTTCCAGCAAATTTATGTTTTAATCAAAGCCAACTGGAAGTTTGATATAAATAAAACCAGAAATAACGAAAATGACATGTAGACACATCCAAAAGACTAATTCGTGAGGCACTACACTGTATTTTTAATTTTATTCAAAACACCAAGGAAGTGTCCGTCGGGTAATTAGAAAATATTGAAGTCATCTAAAATTAGCCGGAGCTTTATTTTTGGGTCCATTTTAATTTTATAAGCGAGATTATTTTCAAGTGTTGGTCAATATCGATTCTAATTTATTGACAAATTACACGTTCAATTAGTAAATCGAACGTCTGTTTTTCGTCAAATATTTACTCGAAAAAATTGAAATTTAAATTGATAATAAAAACAGATTTTGCTGTTAATTTTCATGTAGAGTCATTAGTAATTAATAGATTGTATAAAAAGATTTCATTTTTATGTTATCTTAAATTTTCAAAAATTTTACTTGAATAAATATTATACATATTCTAATTTATCTATTATATTTTGTAGATTACAGGAAATAAGTAGATATTTTAAAATATTATTTATTTAGACTAACAGTGTACTACAGTATTAAATCTGTTTATTTAATTACTTAGCATGCAAATATTAAGGAAATAGAAATTGAAAAATTAGCAGAGTGTTAAAAATATTCATTTAAAAGGAAGCGTTCGATTGGGGAAAATAAAGTTAATGTTTTGATATATTTTTTCCGGTAATTTACAAGATTTATGAATACCTGTTAGATGAAATATGTTCGTCATAAATAAAATGCATTACGATTACGATGTCAGTTACAGACAATTACATTATCCATGCAATATTCTCGAATTTGCTTCTACCGCAGCAGAAACAAAAATAAGACGCCCTGCCAAAATTTGGTTTTATTTTTAACCAATTTCTTTAATTTGAATACAGATAATTTTTGGGAAATTTGCAACGTACAATTACTTACTACTAGAAATAAATTGCAATTTTTCTTTCACTCTTCCTACGCTCGAAAGTAAACGAAAAGTAGGCAATTTATAATATCGCATTTTCCTGTTTATTTCCAACACAGTCATAACAAGATATTTTGTAAGTTGCATTATTTTATAATCTTCTAAACACAATATTTTCTAATACTAATAATTTTTCTATTTGTTAATTTCTGGAGTATCTAAAATCGATAAATATTCAATAGTATACCTATGTATGTATGCCTAAAACTTTGATTAAAGACTTAAGGATAAATCTCTATTATTTCTTCCTAATTTTAGATTTCTCTTTCTATTCAATATATTGTAAAATTAGGTAGGTTTTTTTTAATTTCACTATTCAATTTTAACAATCTGAATTTTAAGTCTTCATTTAAATTTATTTGCCTATTATCTAACTAATTGACCATATATCTTATTAAATTTATACAATG